GGTTTGTGGGGCAAGGCTGCGCTTTGTATTTTAGAAAATGCCCTAAGGACCAGCCACTAAGGCCAACATGGAGTTTGTTGTTAATATTATCATAATATAGGAATTGTATTTCTACCCTCGCCTGGCTCTGGGAGTGTCCTTGTAGGAGGGAGGAGCTGTGCCTGCTGCTGCTGCTCCAGCTTCCCCCCGAGTTCAGGTTTGGTGTGTGGCAGCGTAGCCCTTCGCTGACCGACCCTCCCAACTTCAGAGCCATGCTGCAGCCCTCCCTGCCCAACCTCATGCTGCGCTCACCCTGGGAGCGTGATGCTCGAGGCCAGCCCCGTGGGCGCTCAGGCTTCTCTGGGGAGAGGGAGCTCGGTGGGAGCGAGGGAGAGGGCTCCCAGTCAGTGTGCAAGCGCCATTGTTTTGACACAGAGGCATATGGCTCCGTCAGAAACAGCAAAAAGAAACCCCGCAGCAGATGCTGCCAAGGCAGAAAGCTGGCAGCAAACAGCCAGGCCTGCAAAATGCCTGCTTCGCCATCACCACGTAGCGGGCCAGCGCGGCGCAGTCTTGCCGGGGCTGCCTCTGCGCACGCCGCTGCGTCTTGGGGCTGACCGAAGGTGAAGTCTGATGGTGGCCGAGGCACTTGGACCACGCAGATGCTGGGTGCTGCCGGGTGCGGAGCTGGGAGGGATCGCCGGAGGCTGGTGCTCCCTCAGCAGCAGTGCCGGCAGGGAGTGGTGCTGGGGTGTCCCAACCACGGTGGCTGCCGTACGCAGGCAGGCCCTGGCCGGGGACACACCACCACTGCTGCAGAGCGGGCACAGGCGTGATTTGGGAGCTGACAGCTCTTCTTGCTGCTCCTGTTCTGCTCCTACAGACTGTCCCAAGCCCCTGACTCCCAACACAGACAGTAATCCTTCCTTTTGATACCACCATTTTGCACAACCTCTTGGCCTGCGCCCCACGCTGGGGCTGGTTGCAGATTTGGGCGGAGAGGGAGGAGAATGTGCATCCCTGAGCAGAACAAGAGAAAGTATTTCCTGCAGCTTATTTTTGTGTTTGCTCACATTTACTGAAACATGCAGCAGCTCCTGCAGCACGTTAGTGACCTGACCGGGTGATGGAGCGGTCAGACGTTACGTGGTACTGGCTTGGCCCCACCGCCTCTTGGGTGAGTGATACTTACACCAGCTGTTCAGAAATGTGCTTTTGGGACTGTTTCTAAGGTCAAGTTCTTCATTGCTGACCCTCTGCAGCTTCACCCGGGGGTGGCTGGAGCACTAGCTCTGGCACTCTGCCTCTGCGAGCGTGCCCTGCGGAGCAGCTGTGGTCGGGATGGGGCACAGAGGTGGGCACTTTCTGCCAGGTTGCAGCAGAGGTAGAGCCAAGGGACCAAGACAGCCCTTCCCTCCACACCACCAAGCTGAATCTGCTTCTGTCTGATGCAGGGATGATGGCTCTTACCCTGGGGTGCCATAATTGCACACCTGGTTTTTTCTAGCCAGGGTTTACCTTGCTGTAGCATGAGCTGTTTGGGAGGGGAGGGTTTTTCTTTGACCCGTTCCAAGCAAAATGGGTATTTCAGGGGCCTGTGACTGCAGAGGACTTGATCTGATGGCAGATGTGGTCCCTTCTGGTCCTCCAGCTTGAGAGGCGGAGTGCAGGGCTGCTGCTGGCTCCCCATTGCACCCCAAGACTGGCCCTTCAGGTGCAGCACCATGCCAAGCCCCGGGCTGGGATGGGGGGGCCAGCGCGTCCGGTCGAGGTGGGGGTACACACATACCAGTCCTTCCTTCTGTGCGTTAGCAGAAGAAATGCTGCTGTGTATAAATTTACGTATGACTTGGCAAAATGTATGTTTGTGTCGTTTCTGCAAGAGCAGCAGCCGGCTCTGCTGCTTACACATTGTGGCGGTAATAGAGGTGCTTGAGTTATAGTGAAACTTATTTCATTTTACAGCTCCTACAGCGTTAACAGATGTACAGGCGTCTGATCCAATCATGCAGCAAGAGATTTTGGGGCCAGTTCTTCCAGTTTTGACAGTGTGTAAGGTAGGAGCAGCCATACATTTTACAAACAAGAATAAACGACCCTTAGCAACATATGTCTGTGCTGGCAGCTCCAACGTGATCATAAATAAGGAACCCTGCTAGGCAGGAAGGTATCTGGGCTCTGCATACGGTCAGTACGGACAAAGCATCTGCCTTCCTCCCATTATATTAATGAGGTGCAGGCACTGGAATCCCTATGCTGTACGGCTGGATTTGCTGGGTGGGGCCAAAGGACTTGGAAAAACAAATGCTAACCCAGAGCAAGGGCCCTTTATTTGTTTTAAAGCCTGTATTTCATTTTAGTGACACTTCAGTCCTGCCCGCTGTCTCGCCAGGCTCCCACGTGTTACTGGGTGCTGCTCCACGATCGTTAGCAGACGCCAGCTCGGCCATTTCGCTGAACTCGGTGCATGAGGTCCCTGCTTCAGCCCCAGTGTCCCCCTACCACCGACCTCTGCTCCTAGTCCAGTGCAGAGGGTGCACTGGGGCCCGAGGACCTGAGCCTTGCTGCAGCTTAATGGCCAGCGGCTCCCCTGTGTACCTTGGGGACAGCGTTCAGGGCAGAAAGGTCCTTTTTTATACAGCCGAGTGCTGTATAACGAGGTGGTGAGGCAGAGGACAAACACCACATGCTGTGAAATCTCAGAGGGCTAAGCGTGGCCCCTGCGGAGCTCTGCTCGGCTCCGCTGCAGAAGCCCGTGGGGCTGGGACCGCGCGCAGGCTGAGCTCTGCTCACTCCTAAATTCAGGCCCTGGCCCTGAAACCCCAAACACCAGCTTCCCTCTGCTTCAGCCCCGCAGAAACAATTGCACAGATGTCTCTTGGGTAGAAAGGGAGGGAAGGGGGAGCTGGAAGCGGAGTGCACCCTAATAAATTTAATCTCTACATCATGTTAAAGTGTGGTAGCTAAATTTATTTCTCTTTGCAATCAAAACAATACTAGCTTTAGTCCCAAAACAGTAGTGAGATTTCTCCCCCCCAGCTGGAAAAAAAGAAAATACTATAAATCCATCCCAGAGCTGATTTATATAGCATTCATGAAGAATTTATATTGCAAAGAATTTTATTCAATTAAACTTGAAAAGCCTCTAGATTCCTAAGGTTCAACAGTGATCACTGAGACACAGCTATCATAAAACTGGATGGCCTGTCTGGAGCAGGCATTGAGAAAATGTCTGATGTGACATTGCAGCTGACGGTACAGTCCAAATCAAGAGCATTTGTCATCGGGATGTGTTACAGGCTAAGGCTTGGAAAATTACTCTGTGAAAAATGTGCATTAACAATAGCCATGAAATATCTGGGTTTTTTAAAAAAAAAAAAGGATGAGTAATGAGACAGCACTATGTATTAGCGCTGGGCATGCTTCACTCTGACCCCACTGATTAAAAAGTTAACACAAAAGCCAGAGACTCTTTTGGGAAGCAAGTTTAAGGTTGTTCCTACTTAAATAATTGAAGAGAGGAAACTGCATGACTGACTTAAAAGCTCCCAGCATGAAAAGAGGCACCCTTAGTGCAGGACAAGCACTCTTGATGTGTGTAATCACCACACAGCCCACAAGTTTCCATGATGCTCCTCCGTACAAGGAGAGGAAGACGGAAACCACCATGTCTGACCTGTATTCTCTCCAGTTTTATTTCCAAGCTGTAAGTGGACTTGACTGTAAAACTGTAAGTGTCTGTGTTCTCTATACAATGTAGGTAGCGAGGTGTTAACTCACGCAGCTGGCTGCAAGGCACTTATTTACAGAGTATGGTTTCTTGACAGTCTTCAGTCCATCAGGAAGGTGGAAAAGGGGATGTCTTCTCTGTTGAAGTACTGCCTTCTGCTTGCATGATGTTTGCGGCCGATTCCCCGAGCTCTAGGACACGCTCTACCCTACTCTGCTGAGGGCTCCGCGACAGGGACAGTCCCGAGGTCAATGCAGACACTAATGCGTAACATAGATACAAACCCTTTGGGTGTCAGCCTCTCTCTTCCAACTCTAGCTGTCAGCCGAGGAGGTGCGAGGTCCCCACTACTCATCACAACCCCTTTATCTGCAAACTGAGTGATTTAAGTGGTCCCCAGTAGATAAATATTCAAACTAAAGGAGGGCTCTGCTCCTTCAGCTGGTACCTGCACCCAGAGGGGGAAGCCGTGACCAAACTCAGAGGGGTCTGAGTGTCTGGAGGGGCAGCTCCATGTGGAGTTAACGCCAGTGACCTAAACAGAGCTTGCCTGCATATGACCTGTAGGATCTGGCCCTTCCTCCTTTAATCTCTCTATCCTGCATGAGCCCTGTTCCTGGCAGAGGATGCACTGGATTGTCAACACGGAGACATTCTTCACATGCATAAAGAGAGGCAGCCAGAGCCAAAGAATTCTTAGTGCATTCCTGTAAATCTACACAGCTCGGCTTCAGCCAGGGCTGATGATGGATTGAAAGCAACTTAAAAAAGAAAAGCATGCTGGGCTCAGTATTAAAAGTATGACAGTTAAGGGCCCTTTGGTACGAGTAAATCACATTTATTATTTCAAAGCTTGTGGACAGAGTTCCTGAATCTCTACAGCTGCTGCTCTGTACGAGCATTATGACTTACAAAGAGAAGCTGATTGTTTTCTCTTCTTTATTCCTCAGAGTCCTGTCAAAGCCTTTCCACAGCACCTGCCACTGCCCAGGGAAATGAAGAAATCTCTAGAAATCAGCTGTAGTTCTTTGAAGTCTCCTGCCTCAACTCCAACCCAGGGCAAACAGTAACTCTGATGCCATCACCACAGTGTTACACAAGGGACATTTGGACAAGGCCCAGTGAACAGGACAGCTGTGTTCCTCACAGTATTCAAGAACAAGGTCCTAGTTATTTAAGCTGGAAGTTCTTGGCAGCTCATACGTCCCTTTTTTTCCCTTCCTTGATGGGGGAAAGCAGTCTGCTGGATTTAGCTTCCCATGATCAAGGAAACAAACATTCCAGCTCCCAGTTACGGTTCAGGCTTTATATATATTTTCTCTTCCTTCCCTTCCTTCATTGCAGCATAACGTGCCAAAACGAAGAGATAGTCACTCAGTCTGGAAACCAAGGGAAAAGCAGTGAAATCACTTCTCACATCAGGTGTGTTTGTATCCAGCAACGCACCACTACACAGCAAAGCACATTTGATTACAGCACAAGAACTGCAGGTAAAGGAAGGCAGAGACCACGCAAGAAGTGATTTCCAAAATGGCCTTCAATAAGAAAGCTAACTGCTCCCTCAGCACCGCAGTGCTGTCTGCAAACATACAGGCCTTGCAAGAATACTTTTTAACAAGCTGTTTGTTGAAACTTCAAAGATCTTATTGTAGAAGGGAAGCTTCTTGAGATGTAAAACCCCACAGTTTTATCCTAAGACTAAGGACACACCACCAGGCACACTTCAGTAGTACAGAGTAAGGGCTGGGATTTTTTTTATTTTTTTTTTTACCTGTTTAAATATTTGGCCACATTTGGATCTGCTTCCCCTGCTTGTACTAAGGGAACCACACTAGAAAAAGAAAGGGAAAATTTTAGTGTATTGAACTTTCTAGCTCTGAATGCACAAAGGACTCCGATTGGCTGGAGCACAAACCTTCGCACCCCAACCTCACCTTGACTCTCCATTTTAACTCCCCACAGCACCTCTGAACACTGTTTACCTCCCCAAGAAGAATCTGTGGTGGCTAAATGATGCAACTAATTTTTGTAACTGTCCTGGAGGACTGCCGCTCCTCTCCTCTAAAGGATACTCATCAGTGGGTATCACTGAACCATACAGCAGTTTGCAGATTATCCTTTTCTGCAGGTAAACAGGGACCCTTCTTTTGTTGAGGGAACAGAGCTGTTCCTTGCCTCCTGACTGGTGTACAGCCCTCTTTCTAGCTTTCTTTCGACAAGAAACCACTGACTGTGATGTTAGTTTTTTGAAGATCACGCTGCTCCAGTGTATCTTGTCAGAGTAGCAATCCTCGCAGCAGAGCACATCCACAAAAACGTCTTCCTGCACATCAGCAGCTTCAGTAAAGAACCCCCAGCAACTCAGAACTGCTGATGAGCAGGTTCAGGCGAACACAAGAGACTTTGTATGGAAGTGATTTACATAATGAGCAGACAAGAGTTTTCTCCTACGGACCTGACCTTACCAGGGGAGTTTTTGTGTCCAGTAGAGAAGTGGGACAAAGTGGGTGTGGGCAGTAACATCTTAAGCTGCTAAAAGCTTCCCTGGATCTCACACCTGCCAGTGCCCCAGCTGGCATGTGTGTTAGCCTACAAAATACATTTAGCAAACCAGATACGAGCTGAACACACAGATGCATCTCAACATAAACCTGTCTGTTCTTTCTCAAGTTCTTAGCTCGGATGTCCCAGTTGAGGGGAGGGAAGACAGGCTTGCTTTTTGCTGACTGCACTCCTGGAATTTGACCAATACAAACATACAAAGCTTGACTCAAGCTCTAGCCGAGTGCAATACAGCTATGGTTGATTGCTCCGACTGCAACGATTTGCTATCATTGTAGCATTCTGATCACCTTTTATCAGTTTTATTCTATTACACCACAGCCAACACTCACCACCTTTCAGCTCTGCGGCAGACAGCTCGGGAAAAATGGAGAGCAGCACTGCTTTTACCTCCTGACTGAAACAACAATGAAACAGCACATCAATGTCTGCTAACAACAGATAGAGCCATCCACCTTATTGTAAAACTGCAGCAAAGCTTATCACATCTCACACACACGTGCAACTGAGTCCTATGTTACAGCTAGGCAACTGGGAAGACAGATCTGAATGCAGTAGGATGTGGAAATTTAACTTGAGCGGATCCTTCTCTCTGCTTTTCTTTTGGTATTTGTCCATGCAAATAATGGCCTCACAACCTGTTTTCCCATGGCCAGTGGTAGAGCAGATTTACCCTAACAAAAAGCGAGCCTTCTCCAGTCAGTGAGAGGCAGAAGCAGTACCTACTGGCAAGATGAAAGCTCTGAGCGGAGGAAGCTGCTCTGAGTAACTGTCAATCCACTGCTCCAACTCCAGAACTGGTTTCTCACTAAAAGATGTTCGTTCTACAGAGGGAAAAGAAGAATCAACTAAAAGAAATGCAGAAGTGAATCAGTCCACAGAGAGCTCCTCTTCCATATTTCTTGGATCCTAAGTAAGTCCTAAGAAAGCATCCCAACAAAATCCTCCTGCTAGAGCAGGGCTGGCTCCTCATTCCGCAGCCATGGCTGGGTGTCAAGTGCTGGGGCAGCGCCTCAGGCCAGGTGACATGACTCGAGTCACACAAATGCAGCAGCTTGTGGGACCGTGCGTGACTTCATTCAGCACCCAGACACGCACTGCAGAGCAGCCCTTGGGTGGCTCTAACTACCACAGAGCGGAACAGCCTCCCCAGCGCTAGTCCAGAAGGACAGCTGTGACTCAAGAACTGTTATCCCAGGAAAAGTACTGTGCAGCTTACTTAAGTGAGCCTCCCTGGCTGAGGAGAGAGGCGTTGCGATGTTGGAGCCCACATCCTGCAGCATACACTGGACCTAGATGTGGCAATCAGGACAAAAATAAGAAATGCTTTCATTAACCAGCCTTTGATGCTCCGGTACAACTGCAGAAAGCTCTGGGAGGCGACAGCTGGTTGTGCTGATTAAAGAAGATCCTACCCTTGTTGTTCATCATCCCCCAGCCTGCTGGCAGGGGGGATCAGATAAGTGCTCCCTAATTGCTTTATGAGAAGCCAGATTAGCGCATGTACTTGTTTTCACTGGCACATTAAACCACCCTGGCTGACTTTGCAGAAAGCAGGCTGTGGAGTGCTCACATAACCAGCAACCTCTGGAAGAAAGGCAGTGACAAACAGCTGCAGACAGCGCTGGCTTGGTGTCATGTCCGCTTCCAAGAGAGGCATCTCTCCACAGCCCGGGATACTTGAGAGGCAGTCTGGTAAAGCTTTTTAGAATCTCTGATTAGCTCCTTCTGTGTTCTTGTGCACAACAAAGCTAATTAGCAAAACTCACAGACTGCTATGGCGGGACTTGTCTCCCACCATCACACCCATGTGGTTACTTTGCCCCAATTTCAAATCTGAGGCTACGTGATGACAAGACTTGTGTCCATAACCATGTACAGTAACAGGTCTGAATAAATCTAGAGATATGTTTGTGTGCCCATAACTAATCACTTGATCTACCAGTTTCCTTCTTGATTAAAGAAATTTATTTCTTAGAGAATAATCAAGGGTCAGAGTCTTAAGTATTTATTTATTTTAATACTAAATTTATTAAATTCCTGTGTGTCAGTGGGAGCACTGTGTCTAAAATTAAAGAGTTTAAGAATACGTTTCAATAGTACAGATGAAGTGACTGCACTGGGTGAGGATTATCATAAATACTCACTTTGTGAAGTTGTTCAACAAATGTGTGGCCCTTTTCACTGCTAAATTCACCAGCAAGCCTAGGTTAAAAAAAATCAAGAAAACAGAGTTAGCTGGAAATGAAAAAATTACCACGATTGTGCATATCCGTATGAAAAAACACAGAATTTGGACACTCCTGGCTGTTTGTCAGTGCAACCCTCCACAGAAATTTGGTCCACCGTGTATCCCTTTCCCTCCTGCTGGGCGGTGGAACTGGGGGAGCTGTTCTTAATGGAAGAGGATGCCCAGAAGACGCCCACAGAAAGGGGCTGGGATGGTGTCACTAGGCCTCTGTGCATGTGGAGGGCCTGG